ATAGAGTCCATATTTATAGTGGATTAAAATGGCTAGATTTCAATTAGTGTTAGTGATCATGAAGATGTAATGTTTTCAACAGGTTCTAAAAACTATGCACAGACCCCTGGAGTTCCAGAAGTCCTTGCTGTTTGCCGCACAGAGATGTCACACACATTCTCTATTCTTTAGTGCAATATACGAGTTAGAATTAAGAAGCCAACTTTCTATAGATGGCATTGGTGAATCTCAAAAATGTTAAGTAAATCACTTCTAGTTTGTTTCAGGTGTTACAAAGGAAGCCTTCTAACCAAATAACTGATAGCCGCAGTCTACTACCGCCCTCCCAGGAAGTTCAGCCTTATGTGAACTGCAGCCACTCCACGTCTCACACCATTCCATGTTATGTGACTCCTTCTGTAACTCAAATCCATAGGTTGTAGCATTAGGAACACTCAATAGTCCATACTTAGAAGACAGTGTAATAAGTCCCTTTAGGACCTGTTCTGTTTAGATTCAATTCCAAAAACAAACATGAGGGAAGTGGGCTTCCTAAAGAGAAGAGGGGAACACGCCAGAGAAGACAGAGGGAAAAGGAAACCCTTTTCATTTCACAGCATTGACGGCGTCGTGTCTTTGCCAGGAAACGCAACGATCTAGAGCAGCAGCGTGCCGGCCTCTTCTGTGGCGCTCTTGCTGAGAAAGGGGACCCCGGTCTCAAAGTTTCGGGACTCTTACAAGGTTAACAAGGGTGTCTGTTCTCGTCAGTATTTGAACATAAGATTTTTAAACTGAGAGTGTTAGAAGATATTTTGTGTAGGTGCTCCTGAACGTTAGTGGGGCACTACAGAATAGTAAACTAAGAGTGTGGCAAGCTCTAGGGTGTGATTGCCCAATGATGCTCTCCAAATTTAGCTGTGTCAATTACCAGTTATGGTTTGAGGGCATGAGTGCTGCAGTGGTTTGAGTTGGCCAGGGAACCGCATAGTCAGCAGTTTGAAGTCAACAGTGGTTCTTCCAGAGACAGAAGGGGCTTTCTACTCTCCAAAACAGATAGTCTCCAACATCCACTGCGGTTCACTGTGATTGAGGGCAGTGAGTTATAATTTGACAGGTTAACCCTTTCTGTACCACAACCTTCTTATAATAAATGCACAACTCTATTTTTCCAGTTATATTGGCAAGTAATATACGTATTATCTAATTCAATAGTTCAATCATTCAGTCATTTCTCAGAGAATTGTGCAATCAATCCCACATCAATTTTAGAGCATACTCCCACACTGTGGTAAAATTGCCTTTAAGATGGTTTATGTCGTCACAATCCGTTCTAATGTTCCCTCCCCTCTCCTGTCTTCATTAGTTACTCCCAAAATTCCTTTTCCCACCCTATTTCCCACTCTATCCTGTATTCCCTATATTCCCTTTTTATCCATTATTATTATCATGCATTCACTCCTCCTGTGCATTACAGCTGGGAGACTCAATAGAAAACAAGACCCTACTAAGGTGGTAAGGGTAAAAATATAATAGTATACAGACAAAAGTACTAATAATATATAAGAAGGAAAAGACCCCCAACAATAATAAAAAACCAAGGGAAGAAATTTCTGTCATGGAACCAGCAAGAAATACTTGCACTCCGAACAAATTCATGTCTATAGGGTGGTCAACTGGCCAAGAGTCAAGTTCTGTCCAGTATAATAAGATTACAATGGTCTCTGCCTAATAGCAAGGCTGAATGAGGCTCTTGTCTGTGGCTAGAGAGGATCTCCAGGTGGCTCAGCTTGACCACATACTATGCAGATGGGTTTTGGGTTCCCAGCATCCCCCATAGCCTCCACAAATTGGGTGTTCATATTTTTGATCTGATGTTTTTCTCCTCACCACATTTGTTTTATGATTGTCATCTTTGGATTACACAAGCTTGTGTGCTTCCTCCTTGTGGACTTAGTTTTGACTCCTTGTTTAGTTGTCTGCTTGTTTGAATACAAGCCCCAAACACGATTCTGATTGATAGCCGGGCACCATCTGCTTTCTTCAGCACTCTTTGTTGTAGCACCCTTATCTTTAGTGATCATTTCATGAAGGTGAGCATTGAGCAAGGCTAATATATAAGAACTGATGATTCTTAAATTGGAGCTAGGATTTAGTGCATGCCTAAAACCCATTCCTGGATTTATGCTTTCATTTTATTTATTTTTAATTAATTTGCTGTAATTTGGGAGCCACTACATGTGTCATATTTTTCTATAGTTCAATCATGTCAAACATAATTGTGTGATGTCTTGCATAATCCTACATGCTTTCCAAAACATACTTTTCCTTCCTGGACTTTTTTTTCTTTTTATTTTAGCAATAGGGAGAATGATTATAGTTTGTGAAAAACTGCAAGCTCACTCCAAAAATATAATTTAGCATGAAAGAAACAAAAACATTCTCAGATATCAAAGGTATGGTTTGAATCCTAGCTGTAAATAATGTGTATGCCTCTGAGTTTCCATTTCATCATCTTAATACACAAATGGAGATAATAAAGGTATATTACAGAATTGAAATCAAGATTAACCTTCCTGGACTTTTTAACATCATCTCCCTCTTGTCTCCCCCACCACTCTATCACCCTCTCCCTCCAAATGCTTGTTATATTTTCTTTCCCTGTAGGTTTATCCATCAGTTTCATTAACCATAAAATAATAAAACAAATAACACGGCTTCAAGAGGATGAGCCCCAATGGTGATGCACCTCTGAGATACACTCTAATGTAAATAAGCATAAGCAGAATATAACAGAATGGCTGTCACAGGGTTGTTGGGATAATACATGCTTTAATACAGCATACAGGGTGTTAATGTACCAAGACTTATTTGTTCGCCAACCAGTAGTACACCGCTCTTGACATCACTGTCTTCTTCTACCTCAGACACAGTGGAGTTCCCATTCTCATTGATGGTCTCCGGAGTCTCTGGAGTGCACCCTGAATTTCAGGGCTCAGTGTCCCAATGTTCTGTAGCGCCTGGCCTGAATTCCTGGGTTACCCCCAGATGCCTTGTCAATTCTGCCCTCCTGCTGCACGCCACTAAAGACCCCACACCTAATGATCCCAAGAGCATCCTCAGTCTCTCCTCCCCCAGCTGGCAGTCAGTCATCTCTGCCCTCCCTCCCAAAAGACATGCACCTATGTTCCTACCCCAGTGGCCTCATTTAGTATTTGTCCTTTTGTGCTTGACTAACTTCGGTCAGTATAATGTCTTCCAGATCCCTCCATGAGTAAATGCACACCTCTCATGTATGTGATCAACTATTGAAATGTATGCTATGTGAAGTGCATGTTGGTGAAACTGTTAAAAATAAGCGTAAAGAAATAGAGGAAAGAAGTAGGAGGCATAGGGCATATATACAAGCCTAGGTACAGACATGTA